ATAGTTGCAGTATTATTATATCTTTATTATACTATATATTTATTAAAGGAAAATTAATTTAATTTTGTAGAGACAAAATGCATATAAATGAAGGCGATATCAGTTTAGAAATGAGTGATATAGAAATTATATATGAAGTATCATTACAATTCCCTGGACTGTCTACATCATCCCATACAAATAATTGGCAAAAACAAAAAAGAACTGGAAGATTAGAAGATAACCCGTAAAAAAATTTTATTCGTTCCATAAAAGTTGTATTCCACAAGTGAAATATCGAAAAGATGGATCTACAACAAATTTGTGGCGGCACTTATTAAGTAAACATCACCTTTCAAGAGCAATCATAGAAAATGGTTGGGTAAATATCGAATCAAAAAACAATGGCAGCTGTGAATTTCATGTAACTGCGGAACCCTCGCAAATGACATTAATTCAGGTATTCAATAAGACAACAAAGTATATATATAATAATCCAAAACAAAAAAAGCTAAATAATAACATTGCAGCTTTTATTGTTAATGACCTCTAGCCATTCTCGGTTCTCGAAGAACCATCATTCAAAAAATTATTGAAGGGCTTGACCCCCAAATCAATGTACCTAGTAAGGATCGGTTAAAAGATATCCTTATCAACGCAGAAGACAGAATTTTGCAAAATGTGCGCGATTATGCGCTTGATGATATGGAAATTAGCTATTCGTCGTTCACTACCGATATGTGAACTTCTAACAATGGTGATCCATATATCGGATTTACATTTCATTGGATCAACAGCGAGTTTTACATGAAAGAAATGGTTGGGAAATTTCGTGTTTTCTGTACCCCCATACTGCAGAGCGTCTCGCAAGTAAAATTATTGAATTCTTCATAACCTTAAACTTAAAAATAAGACTATCTGTGGGACAGTTGATAATGGATTGAACATTAAGTCTTGTTTAGAAAGGTTAGAACAAAGGCATGGTATATCAAAAATTTTTTGTTTTGGCCATACATTACAACTTGCTATAAACGACGCATTAAAAGGATGTATTGAAATTTTAAACTTAATCAAAAAATGCAAAGACATTGTATCTCATTTCAGTGGTAGTCCA